CTCAGCCTTCCATCCTTCCGAGGTGGGTAAAATGAGGACCCAGATTGTTGGGGGCAATATGCTGACTCTCTGTAAACCGCTTAGAGAGGCCTGAAAGGCCTATGAAGCGGTATATAAGTCTACTGCTATTATTATTGTTAGAGACCCCACACACTCACTTCACAGTCTGTTTCTGTTGCTTCCCTCTGGGAGGAGGTTTCGAAGTATTTCTAGCAGGACTACCAGATTCTGGAACAGCTTTGTTTCCTATGCCATCCGTCTGGTAAACTTGCAAAATTCGTTTTTCTCGCCATGTACACGTATATATCCAAACTAGATTGTGTTGTTTCTCTGTGTCATATAATATATCTGGGTATATGCATAAGTTTTTATTTATTTAGTCATGTTTATGTAGTGTATATTGGAGGTGGTTACCCTTTGAGAGCTGTATGCAACAAAATTTCATTTTAATGTATGCCAATTATCGTACATTTAAAGTGACAATAAAGTTATTCTAAGTCTAATCTTGCTGTCACCTTTAAATAATTCCAGCTGCACTACTAACTACCAACATTTCTCCCTATTGCTAAACTAATAATTCTTCCCTAAGTACATAGATTTTTTTAAAAAAGATATAAAATTCATTTCCAGCATTTTTCATTGCTTGGCCATATGTTCTTTCATATGGCAAGTTCAGCAAGCACTTAACTTGCTCATTACTAATTTCCAAGGAGCTATTTTCAAATGTCTTGATAAAAGCAAACTCCCCAGCCCTTGGATTGTGTAGTCCTTTTCTATGGCAACACATTAAAGATTCCATGAGGGAGACAGGGGAATCCTTCTGCAACCAACATTCTGGAACACTTAAAATTCCATTGGCGCTACTTCCTTCCTTGTTGTTTCAATTGTACTCTAATCTTGCCTGTATACATCCATGTGCATGCACTCCTACTAACCTTTGGTGGATCAAGCAGCAGCTGGTGAAACTCCCTGATATGCTGTTTGATGGCATGCAGACTGCCCAAACTGGCCTGGCTGGAAGCCACTTCACAGTTGGGACCAGTTATCTCCATATGCCCCTCCATATTGCAATAAAAAAACCCTATGCCACCCAGCTCGCTCCTACAAGGAAGACCAAAGGATGCACATGTTACAGTGATACATACACCCTCACTGTCCACTTTTCTTGCTAAGGAAATGTAAACTTTTTGATGCAAATCAAATGTACCAAGGGAACTATTCTACACTCCTGTTCAAGAATCACTTTGAAGGAAAAACACTGGAACAGCCAAAGTCCTAACTTATGTAGTGGGAGATACAGATGTTATGAAGAAGAAACTGTTTGCACAGCAGAGAAACAAAATGCTCAGCAACAGTTTTTAAAGTCATGGTTGTTTGCAGAGCCCTATTCCAGTTACTATAGCCTTCACAAGGTACTGTCTGAGGACTTCTGCTGATACTAATCACCAGATATTAGTAGTAGTAATTTTTAAAATGAAAAACATGACCATCAGGATATAACACTGNTGGGTGTGGCCAACTTGTAAAATGTGGTGGAACTCACTTAACAACACTCTTGCTTAGCAACCGAAATGTTGGCTCAGAAACTCTAGCATTTGAAGCATGCAAGTCTTAAAGCTGTCAAGCTACGAGACCCTTGCACCCCTAACCCTTTAGAAAAAAAACCCAGTGGTGTTCAAAATTGGCAGCTTTAAGACTTGTGGACTTCAACTCCCAGAATTCCTCCTCTCGCTCTTCATCTTGATGATGTGCGGACGGGCGGTGGGTGGGGGGAGGGAGCTGTAACCGGTTCTAAACAGCACTGTAGATTTGTGGAGCCTCTTCTATAGAAGAGGTTAGAACTGGCAGGAACCCACCCCTGATACACCCCCACCCTGGCCCTCAGAGATCAAACACAACCCTGATGCCATCTGCAATGAAATTGAGTTTGACACCCCTGATCTATGTCTAAGAAACTGAAGTAATGCAAGCAGAAATTCTCTTTGTACATACTCCCCAAACTCAACTGAATGCAGAGAAGTATGTTCTATTGAATGAAATTGGACTAGGGGTATAACTCTTTTGAAAAATTTAAAGTGATAGAATAACCCCCATTTTAGTAAATATAGTTTATTCAAACAATAATGACATTATTCTTTTTTATTACAAAAGGAACAAAAGCTATTGAACTCTAAGGAATTAGCATCTCTTTATTTTTGCTAGTTTAGGAAAAAAGGCAAATAGAAAACAGAAGAAGCCATCAATATAGTATTAAAATGAAGAAAATATGCATTTTACATATAATTTCAGAAAAAGATCATGGAAAACTCAAAATGCAGATGTCACGTAAAATAAACAGTTTTTCTTGATCTAATACTATCAGTATCACAATTTCTTACAATTTACAATGTTTTATTTTTATTATTTATTTTATGGACTTCTAAAAGCTAAACCTTAACTATATTGATAAAACCTTTCTCTTATGTCATTTACTTTTTGATTTACTTTCAAGCACAGTCCAATTACTTTTTATTTAAATGTATATAGTTTTGAAAAAAAAATATTAACACTATTTTGTAATCCATTTTCAATCATCTATAGGTTTAAGCAGAAAAATACCTTAGGCAAGAAAAACTAATTTTCTTCCCAGCAAAAAGAACAAGTTCTCAAATATCTTAATTTAATATCAGCCATAATCACACTGAATCAGACCAAATATGTTTACCTAAATTGAATAAATTGTATAGAATTGTATAGAATTTGGAGCACTTAAGCTCATTGCCTTCCAACAGTTTTTCACAGAGTAACCAAACAGAAGTTCACTTTTCTTGGCAGTTTCAATCAATACCACAAATTATAAGATATATCTCTCATTAGCAGCAATCCTTTGGAATTAGAACATAGTTTTCAAGGGCAGAAGTCAACTTTCTTTTTTTCTTTTTTCACTTCTTTTTTCTTTTCCTTTTCCTTATTTTTTTTTACATTTTTATGTTTTTATGTTGTAATAAAATTCTAATGAAAAATATATTTTTTCAAAAAGAATTGGTAAATAATTTTGATGAATTATTTAGGTGCAGATTTATGTGCAAACTGAGAATTCAAATTTTTGTTGAGTTTTGTCTAATGTTTTGATGCAACAATTGGGTACTGAGTGTTATTCAAGGAAAGTTATCCATGCTCTTTTAGACCAATTTACTTAGCTCCATAGGCTGAGGTATTCTTTTATTGTGATTCTATTTTTTTTAATTTAACTATTATTTTAATAGTTTCGAGTTGTTTCATTTTTAAATTTTATTGTACACAGCTTTGTAATGTCACTGATATAGCAAGTATAGAGAAATAGTTTAAAACAAACAAATAAATTGTGCAATTTGTTAAACAGTATATGCAATCTTTTTTTACTTCTCTAAAGCTTTCTCTGTACTTCTGTTTTAGTGCTAAAATGAAACAATACGCACCTTTTCACGTTACATGACATGACCTCAAATAATCCTATTCCTCATAAACCCCACTGATGTTATGGGATTGTTTTGTGGCTGGATATTTATAAGATTATCCTTTCTGACTGAATAGAACAACAGTTAATGGGAAAATGCCTGCAGATACTAGATAGACTGTGTGTTATAATCCCCCCCACTTCCATCCTTGACTATCATACCCATCATACTATTACCCCATCTCTTTTAAAATATTTTAGTTTATGCCAGAATTCTTGATAACTCTTCAGTTCTGCACCTGATTATACCAATTCATTTTCACCATTTGGTATACATAGAAGTCATTTTATTCACTTTATTTTCCTTACTTTGGTGATTTTTCCCCTTCCTATTGGCTGAAACAATCCACTACTTTCTGCAACTAAACTGTAATTGGTCAGAGTTTCTGAGCTGCCCCTTGAAAGAGAGTTAACCCTGCAGCTGCCAGGTCACTAACCAGTACATTAGAAAGCTGACCTTCTTCCTACTACAATGTACCTTCTGTCCAGGAAGACAGAGAGATACAAAGTTCGCATTTTGAATGAACAATTAAAAAGCTAAAATGCAATATGCAAATCTCACTAGCCATCTGTCAAGTTCTGCTTTGGAGGGAGTCCCCAGCACTGCCCAGGAGGCTACAGGATTTAAAAGCAGCAAAATTTAGAAGCAGTCAGATTGATGAAATGAAATACTTTATTTTACTTTATCATGGAGTCTGTAGCACTGAGACATATCTTATTATTGATGTTGTTGGCCTCAGATCACATAACTATATTTGATTTTATTATTTTAATATATTTGCATGCATGGTTATGTATCATTGTCTAACAGTATAGTTTGCTGATTTTGTTTTTAATGATTTAACATGTAGAAATAGCATGGATACTTGAATGGCAAGCTCTATCTTATTCATTAGCTCACCATAAAAAGTTAGAGCTTAACTATTTACACTTCACTCCTAAACACTTTTCTGAATTGTATATTCATTGCAAAAATAGTCATATTTAGTCATTTATACTTACACTATTCCTGGCCAGGCAAACATTGGTAAATGGTAATTATTATAATTCAGATAATTGAGAATGCTTTTTTGTACCATGTTATTGCATATACTTTGCCTAAAGCATTGTTTGAGATATGTCTTTGGCCTTTCAAGTAATGAAATTTCACCTTCTACAATTTGACGCACAAGTTCTTGCATTGAAGGCATTTCTTCTTCCTACAAACAAGAAATGAGAAAAGTAAATGTCTGGAGATAATCATTAGCAGGATTGAAGTGTGCAGTGTAGCATCACCATCTTCTATCAGTCTAATAAGTAATGCACAAGGATTTCCAAATAACCCACAGATAAATAAATTTAGCACACATTAGTGAAATGCTGCACCAAAAAGAGAATTCTAATGTAAAACCAAAATCAACCTGGGATTTGTTGCTTTGTATCTTTAGCCACAGGCTACCTCTTAAGCCTCTCTTTCACCTTCACTTATTCCCAAAGCCCCTGACAACCAATTCAGAGAAGCAGCTGCTCACCACATTCCCTGGAACGCAGGCAGACATGCCAGTTGATCCTCAAAGTGCTGCCTAGCACATGCCATGTTCATTTCAATAGAATCGCTGTTGACAGAACACTTTTATTACCGTATTTTCACGACCAAAAGCCGCACCGGATTAAAAGCCGCAGTATCAATTAACGCTAATTTTTTTAACTTTTT